CCTGTCCAATCATAGAAGAGCACACAGATCACATGACCCTGTCCAATCAGAGAAGAGGACACAGATCACATGACCCTGTCCAATCAGAGAAGAGCACACAGATCACATGACCCTTCACTTTTAAACAAAATGGAAACTATAAAACTTAAATTGAGGTTGAGATTGAGATATATTTGTTGTATTGTTCTTAATAAAAAATAAATCATAAAAAAAATGGCCACCCATTAATTCTCATATATATATATATATATATATATATATATATATATATATATATATATATATATATATATATATATATATATATATATATATATATTTCCTCGTGCGATGTCTTCAGTGTTTCTACTTGTTTGGAGTTGCCTGCTGTGTTTGAGTCCAAGAGCCTCGACTTGCTCCTACTGATCGGAACAACTGCAGCAAACACACACATTTTTGTTCTTTCTGCATTTGTATGTAGTACTTGTATGCAGTACTTGTAGTACTTGTATGTAGTACTTGTAGTACTTGTATGTAGTACTTGTAGTACTTGTATGTAGTACTTGTATGTAGTACTTGTATGCAATACTTGTATGCAGTACTTGTATGTAGTAGTTGTATGCCGTAGTGTAGTACTTGTGTGTGTACTTGTATGCAGTATTGCAGTGCTTGTATGTAGTACTTGTATGCAGTACTTGTAGTAGTTGTATGTAGTACTTGTATGCAGTACTTGTAGTAGTTGTATGTAGTACTTGTATGCAGTACTTGTAGTAGTTGTATGCAGTAGTTGCAGTAGTTGTAGTAGTAGTTGTGTGTAGTAGTTGTAGTAGTTGTATGCAGTAGTTGCAGTAGTTGTAGTAGTTGTGTGTAATACTTGTATGCAGTAGTTGTAGTACTTGTATGCAGTAGTTGTATGCAGTAGTTGTATGCAGTAGTTGTAGTAGTTGTGTGTAGTAGTTGTAGTAGTTGTAGTAGTTGTATGCAGTAGTTGTATGCAGTAGTTGCAGTAGTTGTAGTAGTTGTGTGTAATACTTGTATGCAGTAGTTGTAGTACTTGTATGTAGTACTTGTATGCAGTAGTTGTAGTACTTGTATGCAGTAGTTGTAGTAGTTGTGTGTAGTAGTTGTATGCAGTAGTTGTAGTAGTTGTAGTACTTGTATGCAGTAGTTGTAGTACTTGTATGCAGTAGTTGTAGTACTCGTATGCAGTAGTTGTAGTACTTGTATGCAGTAGTTGTAGTAGTTGTGTGTAGTAGTTTGTAGTAGTTGTAGTAGTTGTATGCAGTAGTTGCAGTAGTTGTGTGTAGTAGTTGTAGTAGTTGTAGTAGTTGTATGCAGTAGTTGCAGTAGTTGTAGTAGTTGTGTGTAATACTTGTATGCAGTAGTTGTAGTACTTGTATGTAGTACTTGTATGCAGTAGTTGTAGTACTTGTATGCAGTAGTTGTAGTAGTTGTGTGCAGTAGTAGTTGTATGCAGTAGTTGTAGTATGTAGTACTTGTATGCAGTAGTTGTAGTACTTGTATGCAGTAGTTGTAGTACTGTGTAGTAGTTGTAGTATGCAGTAGTTGTAGTACTTGTATGCAGTAGTTGTAGTAGTTAGTAGTAGTACTTGTACTTGTATGCAGTAGTTGTAGTACTTGTATGCAGTGTGTAGTAGTAGTTGTGTGTAGTAGTTGTAGTAGTAGTAGTAGTTGTATGCAGTAGTTGTAGTAGTTGTAGTACTTGTATGCAGTAGTTGTGTATGCAGTAGTTGCAGTAGTTGTAGTGTAGTACTTGTATGTAGTAGTGTAGTAGTTGTATAGTTGTGTAGTTGTAGTAGTACTTGTATGTTGTAGTAGTTGTAGTACTTGTAGTACAGTAGTTGTAGTAACTTGTATGCAGTAGTTGTAGTAGTGCAGTAGTTGTAGTACTTGTATGCAGTAGTTGTAGTAGTTGTTGTGTGTAGTAGTTGCAGTATGTAAGTAGTTGTATTTAGTNTTGAGTCCAAGAGCCTCGACTTGCTCCTACTGATCGGAACAACTGCAGCAAACACACACACATTTTTGTTCTTTCTGCATTTGTATGTAGTACTTGTATGCAGTACTTGTAGTACTTGTATGTAGTACTTGTAGTACTTGTATGTAGTACTTGTAGTACTTGTATGTAGTACTTGTATGTAGTACTTGTATGCAATACTTGTATGCAGTACTTGTATGTAGTAGTTGTATGCCGTAGTGTAGTACTTGTGTGTGTACTTGTATGCAGTATTGCAGTGCTTGTATGTAGTACTTGTATGCAGTACTTGTAGTAGTTGTATGTAGTACTTGTATGCAGTACTTGTAGTAGTTGTATGTAGTACTTGTATGCAGTACTTGTAGTAGTTGTATGCAGTAGTTGCAGTAGTTGTAGTAGTTGTGTGTAGTAGTTGTAGTAGTTGTATGCAGTAGTTGCAGTAGTTGTAGTAGTTGTGTGTAATACTTGTATGCAGTAGTTGTAGTACTTGTATGCAGTAGTTGTATGCAGTAGTTGTATGCAGTAGTT